GTCCCTTCCCACGCAAACCAGTCTGTGAGTCTATGGTCTGTTCTACCAGACATGGCTGGAACTGGGCACCAGTGATCCCATTTAACCTGCTTTGCTTTGATTGCTTCCACACAACCCTCCCAGGCTCTATTCTTGTCCTCAAGCCCTTTTGTCAATGTAAAACAAAGATATTTACAGCACCTTTAAAAATTATGGGCTGTTTTTTTCCACTGGACTTGCTCTTCCCTGGTGAACGTAGCCTGGGTAGAGCTGCTTGTCTGTTTGCTCATCTGTGGGGTGGGTTTTTTTTATTAGTTCATGAAGGGAACTTTCTGTTGAGAGTTGGGGAGGAAGAGGAAGGCTTTGATAGTTCAGCATCAGGAGGGAGAAGGTTTTCATTCTACTGTGGGCAAGTGGTTTGGATGCAAGGGTGGGGTGTGTTTGATGTGTTATAAACAGGGCTTAGTGTTGGCTGTGGAAAAAGCCAGTTTAAAAACAACAGGTTTTGTGTTTCTCTTGGTGTGATTTGGCTGTTTGAGGCTGCGGGAGTCAGAGATCATGTCCTATCTGAAAGTGTCTGAAGGCTAAAGAGCAGGATGTCAAAATCAGGTGTGTCAAGTCCCACGGGAAGGGTGTTTATTAGCAGAAAATGACATTGATTTGTGCCCTGGGTTGGGCAGGGAGGAGGACCTGCAGGGTGGCAAGTGCTGCAGACCTGCCCTCCTCTGTGTTTCCAGGTGTCCAGCACTCCTTGCTGGGGGAAGTTTGGCCTGGTGGCTCTTCCCTCTCACTGTATGCTGAATTGTGCTGATGATGCTGTACAAAAATCTCCTTTCTTCTTTTTTTTTTTTCTTCCCTGCATCTTTCACACTCTGCCAACAGCAGCTCCTGGGAGCCACACAGCAAGGCAGAACAGCCCATCCCATTGCTCTGAGCTGGGGCTGCCCTGAGTAGCAGCCTCATCCGCTGCTCACACAACCTCTCCCCATCTTGATGTGCTCCTGGAGACAGATCCTGGCTGGGCACACCTCCTGCACAGCCTTCTGCTTCTGGCAGGAGTGCTAATCACAGACTCACAGACTGGTTTAGGTTGGAAGGGACCTTCAAGATCATCCAGATCCACCCCCTGCATGGGCAGGGACACCTCCCACCAGCCCAGGTTGCTCCAAGCCCCATCCAACCTGCCCTTCAACACCGCCAGGGATGGGGCAGCCACAGCTTCCCTGGGCAACCTGGGCCAGGCTCTCACCACCCTCACACTCCACAATTCCCTCCTCATGTCTCACCTCAATCTCCCTCTGCCACTTTTCATCCATCCCCCCTTGTCCTCTCCCTCCCTGCCCTTGTCCCAAGTCCCTCCCCAGCTTTCCTGGAGCTCCTTCAGGCACTGGAAGGTGCTCTAAAATCTCCCTGGAGCCTTCTCTTCTCCAGGCTGAACACCCTCAACTTCAGTGGGGGTGACACTGCAGCCAGCAATGAGGGAAACTCAGCTTTGGGGTGGGAGCAGATGTATTGGGTCCTTCTCCAGATCTCTGGGACCTGTGTGGGTTCCAGTGGTGGTGTAGACAGACCTGTCTGATCCACCTGCTTCACGTGCAGGTTGCCAGCCTGACCTTGCAAGGGGAGGTTGCTCAGATTTCTTTATTTGCCCTGGGTTGTCCTGGAGCTGATGGGGCTGAAGGAATGGTGGGTTTTGAGGAGGGCCCTGTGGGTTTTGTATCTGAATTTACAGCCTTCTCTCATCCCCCAGGGACATTTCTCTCTCTTTCCCAGCTGTGAGAGAGAAGCCCTCTTCATCCTGCCCTCCTTCCCCCTCTCTCCACATACCAACCCTGCCTCTCCCCGCCGCCGACCTCCTGCCCCAGCACAGCCTTCACACAACAGCTCTTTCATTTCCAAAGAGTTTCCACCACGTGCAGCCCCTCCAGTGGGTTGGAAACGGCAAGGGGGAATGGGGATGGCTCCAGTTCCCTGCAAAAGGGGAGGGATGGGAACCTCTGTGGGTCGATGCTCTTTAATTTGAGGCTGTAGAAACCACGAAGCAGTCTGGGAACTGCTCTGGGGTGGACAGAAGTGACTGTCTCCCATCCCTCTGGATTAGCTCTCCTGTCTCCCATCCCTCTGGATTAGCTTTCCTGTCTCCCATCCCTCTGGATTAGCTCTCCTGTCTCCCATCTCTCTGGATTAGCTGTCCTGTCTCCCATCCCTCTGGATTAGCTTTCCTGTCTGCCATCCCTCCGGATTAGCTCTCCTGTCTCCCATCCCTCTGGGTTAGCTCTCCTGCAGGATGAAGCAGGCTGGATGCCATGCTCCTGGTGATGGTCACTGAGCCCCAACCCTGCTCAGGAGCCTGGCACCAGCCTTGAATTAAACACACCTCCCTGCTCTGATCTCAGGCTGGAGTTATCTGGGGCATATTGCAACTGTCAGTATCCTTTTCATTAAAGATGATGGAGAGCAAGGGATGGGTTCCTGGCTCCTCTATTGGACCTTGTGTGTCCTGTCTGCTGCAGCCTGGCCTGGGTGGGACAGCCCAGCAGCTGTCCTGCTTGGAACCAGTTTCTGATCTCACTGGGCCATGACACTCAATTCCATCTCCCTGTGTTAATATTTGCTCTAGGAAACACTTGGCTTTGGCTGCTGTGGTGGTGCAGCCAGGGTTTCTGCTCCCTTCTGGGAGCTGGGGCAGGGTTTGCTTCAGGTTTAACCTTTTAGTGTGTGTGTCCTGTCCTGGCAGGGCTGGGAGGTTGAATAAACCAGAGAGCTCAGCCCGCTTCTCAGCTTTCACACCAACCAGCTGATGTGCTTCAGCATAAGCCTAGGAGAGTATCTGGGCCACTGAATTTGGTTGAGGATTTAGAATCATCAAATCCCAGACTGGGATTCACACCAGTTTGGGTGTGAAGGACCACCAACCACACAGGGAAGGATTTCTTCAAAATGTCTAATGTTCATCTCCCCTCTTCCAGTTTTCATCCATCCCCCCTTGTCCTCTCTCTCCCTGCCCTTGTCCCAAGTCCCTCCCCAGATTTCCTGGAGCCCCTTCAGGCACTGGAAGCTGCTCTAAGGTCTCCCTGGAGTCTTCTCTTCTCCAGGCTGAACACCCTAACTCTCCCAGCCTGTCTCCAGAGCAGAGCTGCTCCAGCCCTTGGATCATCTCTGCGGCCTCCTCTGGACTCTCTCCAGGAGCTCCATGTCCTCATGCTGGGGGCAAAGAACTCAAGCTGTGATCAGTGATCAGTTGTCTGTCTGCAGGGAACTGTGGGGTGTTTATATCCTTTCAAACCTTTTGCCCTGACCTGTTCTCTCTGTGGACCTGTGAAGACTTTATCCAAGGGTTAAGAAGGACAATTAAATCCCCAGGAGAGCATCAACCCTTTCCTTCCCCCCAGTGTGTGTATGTCAAGGGTGAGCTCCAGGAATCCCTCTTTGGCATCTTGGGTCCTCTGCTGAGCTGTTCTTCCTCCCAAAGAGGAAAACCAAAGGCTTCCCTGGGTGCAACCAGGCTCTCCTTGCTTTGCCAGCCTTGTTGAGCCTTCCTTTTGGCCCTGTGGTGATGACCCTGCCCAGCTCCATGCCCAGTGCTCCACTTCAAGAGCTCTCTGTGCTCCCCATCCTCTGCTCCACAATCCCAGCAACTGCCTTGGCAGCATCCAGCTGTTCCAGCTGTTCCCCTACCCAGATACAAGAAGCTGGTCAGCTGTAGCTGGGCTCTGAGCAGTGATAATTGCTCCTCCACACCACAGCTTCTGAGGACCTTTCAATATGAGCATTATTTGTTTCTCCTCCCTCATTTGGGTTCTGAACCAGGAGATTTTGCTGAAACACTGAAGATCTTGTTCGTTGTAATATGTCCTGCTTGGGAACTCAGTCCCTCCCCTCCCCACTTTCCTCCAAAAAGTAAGGAACCATTTTGAATCCCCCTGGGAGCAGGAGGCTTCCAGAGGAAGAAAGTCTTGATAACATCAAATATTTGATGTTGAAGTAAACAAGTCTGTATTGTTCCTCCAGAGCTGGAGTTTTGACTCCAAACAGGAGAAATCCTGGCAGTGTCCCACAGCAGGGATCAAGTGCTTGGGAGTCAACTCCTGTTTCCTTGACCACTTTTGATGTCCCTGGATGTGATTTTTTGCCCATTCAGATCAGTCTGGGGCAAGATAAGAATGGGTTTTGACTGATCCCCATGTCCTGCATCCTGGTCCTGCCACTCTCCACACCAGCATGGAGCTGGGGAGATCTTCCAGTCCATTTGGGCTGCAGGGAAGGACATTTTGGGGTGAATTTATTGAGTCATGTATTAATCCTTCAGCTGGGGTGGCTGGATGGTGAGGTTTAGGGATGAAGGGGCTTTTCTTAGACCAAGTGATCTTTAGGAGAAGGCTGATAAGCCCTTCACACCAACAGCCCAAGCTTGTCAAACTTCTCACCTTCTCACTAGTTTTTGAACAGACCTCACAGACGCTTTGAGAAATGGATTTGAAAACTTTACTGCAGGTCTCTTTGTGCTCCACTGACAAAGAACCCAACCCCACCCGCTCCAGATCCCAAACTTCTCCAACCTCTCCCTCAAGGAAGAATGATGGTTTAGGGTTTTCAGAGGGCCTTGCTCACCCCAGCCCCTGTCCTGGTGCTGGGAGCAGAGTGGATTCATTCCCTGTTTATTTGCATTTTGCTGTGTCTGGAACTGAAGTCTTGGCTCAAAATGGAGTCAAGAGACAATTCTGCTGCTTGTTTTTGCCAGCAGGTGTTGGAGTTGGGCCCTGTGGTGGGACTGAGGGATCTGTGTTGGGTGAGGAATATCCTGACTGAGCCAGAGGGTTGGAGACACTTGGATTTGTGGTGAGACGGTGTCTTTGTGAGGTGCTTTGGGCTGCTCCTGCCACCTCTATCCCGTTGCTGGTGCTGTCAGGACCACCCTTCATCCCTTTCTGCCCCAGGGCCTCACTGCATGAGGAATAAGGAGCTTTAAGCACTGAGCTACCCTGCCTGATTCCTCCTCCTTTCTTCTTTCTCTACAGCTGGTCAGTGAGAAGGTCGGGGGAGCTGAAGGGACCAAACTTGACGATGACTTCAAGGAAATGGAAAAGGTGAGCAGAGAACAAGAGAAATCTCTAAAATAGCCCAGCTGACTCCTCTGGGACCTTGGCAAAACCTTGAGCTGAACTTGATCATCTTGTCTTTCCTACAGAAAGTGGACCTCACCAGCAAGGCAGTTACAGAAGTATTGACCAGAACAATAGAGTACCTCCAGCCCAACCCAGGTGAGTCCCTGGACCTCTCCTGTCCTCTTCCGTCTGTCACCCAGGAAAAGAGACAGAGGGGTCAGAGAGACATTAGAGAAAACTTGTTGGGCCCTAAGATATTGGTCACCAACCCATGTTTGAGATCTGGTGACTCAGGTGAAGATCCTGATCCCTCTCTTTGTGTTCCTGGGCTGTCAAATCCTGCTGGTGCTGTTGAACAGTGAAAGAACAGATACGTCTTTAACCTTGGATCTAGAGAGGTCCTGAAGGAGACCTGGTTTTCATAGAATCACAGACCTACAAAATAGTTTGGGTGTAAAGAGACCTTCAAGATCATCTAGATCCAACCCCCCTGCGTAGGCAGGGACACCTCTCACCAGCCCAGGCTGCTCCAAGCCCCATCCACCCTGCCCTTCAACACTGCCAGGGATGGGGCAGCCACAGCTTCCCTGGGCAACCTGGGCCAGGCTCTCCCCACCCTCACACTCCACAATTCCCTCCTCATGTCTCACCTCAATCTCCCTCTGCCACTTTTCATCCATCCCCCCTTGTCCTCTCCCTCCCTGCCCTTGTCCCAAGTCCCTCCCCAGCTTTCCTGGAGCCCCTTCAGGCACTGGAAGGTGCTACAGGGTTGTATTTTCTTGGAGTGTCCATAAAAAGTGGTGTCAGGGCTGGGAAGGGGTGGCTGGCTCTGCAGGCAGCTCCTCTGGAACCTGCTGTCCTGTGTGCTTCCAGCCAGCTCTTTCAGAGATCACTCCAGGGACTATGGGAGGGCTGGTGAAGCTCCTTTGGCTTTAACTCCCAAGCTGTGGGGAACTATTTTTGTTTGGTGCCTTGGAAAAGAACCTTCTCTTTTTACCGCAAATGGTATTTCTGGTTGAGGAGGACAATAGGGCTTCTTGGCTTTGGGTGTAGCTTGAAGGGGAAAAAAAATAAATGTTGGCAGTGACCAGCAGCTGCTGGCAAGTCCAAATAACTGCAAGCACAACTGTGGCTGTTTCTGTGCCAGCTTCTAGGGCCAAGCTCACCATGCTCAACACCATGTCCAAGATCCGCGGGCAGGTGAAGAACCCCGGGTACCCGCAGTCGGAGGGGCTGCTGGGGGAGTGCATGATCCGCTATGGCAAGGAGCTGGGAGATGATTCCAACTTTGGTGAGTGTCCCATCAGGCCACCTCTCCCCTCCTTCCCCCCATCTCATCTCGTGCAGGTGAGATGGTGAAGCCTGCTGCCAGGTTTCCAAGCTGTTACTCCAAATTCTGGAAGGGCTTCTTGACCCGTTGCGTCACCTGACGGTGCTGGGGGCTGTGAAATGAGGTCTGAAGGATTCCAGGGAAGGGGTGAGCAGATCCCAAGTGGCCTGGCTCCTAATCCATCGTGCCAAACCACCTCTTCACCCTTTCTCATTAAACTGAGATGAATATGCAGGGAGGAAAAAAATGCTTCCCTGCTTCTAAAACAACCAACACTGAGGTGGAAACGAGATGCCGAGTTTTCCGGCGCCGTTCCCAGCTCAGAGCTCTGCTCTCAGGGAGCTGGAGCCAAGAACTGCTTTTGCGTGACAGTTCCTCATAACCACGTGTGACTTGCAGGGTGGGGGGAGTGTGGGGAGGATGAAGCTTCTCTGTGACATCAATTTTAATCCACTAAAACATCAGCCTGTGCACGTGACAGACCTGGAAGAGGGCACAGCTGTCGGGTGGCTGCCAGGGCAGGGAGGAGCCTTCGTGCCTTGGGAAAATCACAGGATCACAGAGTGGGGGGGTTAGAAGGGAACTCTGGAGATCATCCAGCCCCCCCTGCTAGAGCAGGATTCCCTAGAGCAGATCCCACAGGAACACATCCAGGTGGGCTTGGAATGTCTCCAGGGATGGAGACTCCACAACCTCCCTGGGCAGCCTGTCCCAGGGCTCTGGGACCCTCACAGTCAAGTAGTGTTTTCTCACATTCAGGTGAAACCTCCTGTGCTCCAGTTTGTGCCCATTGCTCCTTGTCCTGTCCCTGGGCACCCCTGAGCAGAGTCTGGCCCCCATCCTCCTGCCACCCCCTGGAGATATTCCCCAGCACTGATCAGACCCCCCCTCAGCCTCCTTTTCTCCAGCTGAGCAGCCCCAGCTCTCCCAGCCTTTCCTCCCAGGCAGATGCTCCAGCCCCTCAGCATCTCAGTGCCCTGTGCTGGGCTCTCTCCAGTAGCTCCTTGTCCTTCCTGAACTGGGCAGCCCAGAACTGGACACAGGGCTCCAGGTGAGGCCTCTGGGAGCAGTTAAGGAGTCTGGAGAGAGTCTGTGGCCAGCTCAGAGCCCTGCATCTCTCTTGACTTGCAGGAACTGGAGTCATTACAAAGAGCAAGGGGGAAGGAAGTTTTTAGCAGAACACACCAACCTTGATTTCCTTTAATAGCCTCTGTTTAAAGGAGCACTTAACTTGATAAATGTCAGTGTTAGTGCTGCATCCCTCCCTAGGGCAGGTTATCTAGAGTTATCACAATTGAAATAACTCTTCTTGGATATTTCTTTTCCCAGCTGGAGAGTAGAGTGGGGTTTCCACTTGTCCTTCTCCTCCACTGGTGTATTCCCTCTTCTGTCCTAGTGCTGGAATGCTTGCTTTGCTGTTGCTGCACAGGGATAATTTACCCTATAGATGTTTTCCACTGGCATAAAAAGCCAGGACTAAAAATCCTTTGCAGCTTCTCTGTCATTGTGGCAGGAGCTTTGGAAGAGCATGAAACAAAATAGGTTTCAGGAAGTGACTTTGGTTCAGAGAGGAACAGAAGGGATAAGATCAGCCCAGTAGAGATTAATTTCTGGAATGAATAAAAAGGCTGCAGGTTTGCTGCCAGCACCTGGGGAAACTTGAAAAGTTGGTCAGAGTGTTCAGGGCTTAAAATTATCTGAATCAAAGGATAGCCAGGCTGGATCAGACCCAACATAACCTCAGCCTTGGGCTTCTCCTGCCAGCAGTGGCCAGAGAAAAGCTCCGCGTGGCCAATTCGCAGCTCTTAAAAATACCAATTTTAACAAATATTTGGACTTTTCTTTCCTCTGGGGAGTTGGTAGAGATTGTTCCTGGTTTTTTTTCAGAGGGTAAAAAAAGAAAATGCAGGAGGTTAGTGAAGTGTCCTGTGTGGAGGTGGTGCCAGCAGGAGCTGCCTGCTCCCACCGGGCACCGCTCGCTCCGTGCCAGGCTGGGAGATTTGCTCCAGATAGAAAATGGGGAGTGTTGGATGGGATATGGAGCTTGGGTTTGTTGGCAGGGTGGTTCTTTATGCAGCCAGCAGGACCTGCAGCTCTGAGTGACTGGCTGGGCCCTTCTCCCCTCTCCCTTCCCTCCCTTCTCTCACCCCAAGGTGACGCGCTGCTTGATGCTGGAGAGTCCATGAAGCGGTTGGCAGAGGTGAAGGACTCACTGGATATTGAAGTCAAACAGAATTTTATTGATCCTCTCCAGAACCTGTGTGACAAAGACCTGAAAGAGATACAGGTAAACACCTTCTCTTTCCTCCTCATTTCTTTCATTTCTGGCTTCTCCTGGCTCTTGGTGCATGGAAGCCCTTGTTCTGTGGCATGGGGAGCCAAGGACTCCTGTGGGTGTCACAGTTTCCTGCCCTTCATGTGCCTTCTCTCCCCAGATCCACTGGTATTTCCTCCCTGCTCAGCACCACTGCTGCTGCTCCTCAGCAGCTCAACAGAATCACTGAATCCCTGATTGGTTTGGGTGGGAAGGGACCTTCAAGATCATCTAGATCCAACCCCCTGCACGGGCAGGGACACCTCCCACCAGCCCAGGTTGCTCCAAGCCCCATCCAACCTGCCCTTCAACACTGCCAGGGATGGGGCAGCCACAGCTTCCCTGGGCAACCTGGGCCAGGCTCTCACCACCCTCACACTCCACAATTCCCTCCTCATGTCTCACCTCAATCTCCCTCTTCCAGCTTTCATCCATCCCCCCTTGTCCTCTCCCTCCCTGCCCTTGTCCCATGTGCTGCCAGGGAAACAAGTCCATGCCAAGCAGGGCCAGGGTTTGTAATAGGATCCATCCCAACCTGGGATCCACAAGGCAGCTCTCTGGAGTGAATTTTCTCTTCCAGTGGTGTCCCAGTTACAATAACAGCCAACTACTATTTCAGCACTTACCTCTACTCCAGGTCTGCCATGGAGCTCATTTAAACAGCTCAACCCTAAGGAGTCAGGGGCTGCAGAGCCTGAATCCCAGTCCCTGACCTCCAGAGATCCCATTATTCCTGGGGAGCTGGGGGCCAGTTCTTCACCTTCACCAGAGGCCTCCATGACGAGCAGACCTGGGCTGCTCCTTCCACTGTTTTCCTCCAACTTTTGGCTGGAAGGGAGAGGTGAAATCACACCCACAGGCCAATTTGTGGAAGGTTGTTTTTAGGAGGAATCCCCATGGCCACAACAGGGATCCTTGGTATGACCATGTCCACGATCCTTGGCATGGGCAGGGCAGTGATCCCTGGCACTTGGGGGGGTCCCCTCCTCCCTGTCACCCCCCAGCAGCCCAGCCTTGCTGTTCTCCATCACCTCCCAGGGCCTCTCCAGAGGGTGAACAAAGGTGGGAGCCACAGAAACAATGTGCTCCTGGATCAGGTTGCTGAGACTAATGAACTCAACCTGTAACTGGAGCTGCCTTCCCAGCAGGAGAGTTTGGCTGCCCCTGGTCTCTGGCTTTTCCTCCTTTTACTGTTGATAACCATCCTCTTCCCAGCACCATCTCAAGAAGCTGGAAGGCAGACGTTTGGACTTTGACTACAAGAAGAAACGACAGGGCAAAATCCCAGAAGAGGAACTTCGACAGGCCTTGGAGAAGTTTGAAGAGTCCAAGGAAGTAGCAGAGACCAGCATGCACAACCTCCTAGAAACCGATGTGAGTTTTCCCTTCCCCAGGCCAGGAGCTGCTGGGTGGTTGATGTGGTCCTGGGTACACAAGGGTGGGATCTCCACTCGTTTCCACTCTCGTTTTTGCCAAGGGGGGTTTTGGTCTCTGAAACCTCAGACCTGAGGGCCAAACACGTGGCTTGATGGGTCTTTCATCCTTTCTGTAGCCCCTCTTCCTCATCCAGCTCCTGGCCAGAGGATGGGAGGGAGCTTTTACCAACACAGGAGCCCAGAGCATGGTGGGAGGTGTCCTCTGTCCTCCTGAGTCTCATGTCTGAAATCCCAAACCTTCTCCTCATCTCCCCGGGGAAGCTGCCCTTGGTCCACGTTCCCAGCACACTCCTCAGGTACAACGAGGGGTTCTCCTGCTCAAGCCCCCTTGGTGTGACCCCCACAGATCGAGCAGGTGAGCCAGCTCTCAGCCTTGGTGGATGCCCAGCTGGACTATCACAGACAGGCTGTGCAGATCCTGGACGAGCTCGCGGAGAAGCTCAAGCGCAGGTGAGTCCTGGGGGGCTATGGGGTCTCTGCTTCCACAGCCATGAACCCTCCCTCTGGTACTTGTCTCTAAATACCCAACCATCCACAGAATCACAGAGTTGTCTGAGTTGGGAGGGACCTCTGGAGATCATCCAGTGCAAGCCCTGCCAGAGCAGGATCCCCTAGAGCAGATCCCACAGGAACACATCCAGGTGGGCTTGGAATGTGTACAGAGATGGAGCCTCCTCAGCCTCCCTGGGCAGCCTGTCCCAGGGCTCTTGCCACCCTCAAAGTAAAGAAGTTCCTCCTCATGTACAGATGGAGCTTCCTGTGTCACAGTTTGTGCCTGTTACCTCTTGTCCTGTCACTGGGCACCACTGAAAAAAACCTGGCCCCTCCTCCTGACACCCACCCTTGGTGCACTGACAAGATCCCCCTTCAGTTTTCTCTTCTCCAGACTAAAAATCCCAAGTCTCTCAGCCTTTTCTCATAAAAGATGTCCCAGTCCCCTCATCATCTCTGTAGCCCTTTGCTGTCCCCTCTCCAGTAGTTCCCTATCCTTCCTGACCCGGGGAACCCAGAACTGGACACAGCACTCCATCTATCTCCTGGTGTTCAAGCTGCTGCTTCCAGTCACTAGGACTTCAATCCAGACCTTTCTCCAGGCTGGAGGGAGTGATGCCAGCCCAGCAAGGGCCACATTCTGACATCTGAAACCAACCCCCTGTGTTCGTGGTGTGGATCTGCTGGGATCAGGGTGTGATGCTCCTGGGGAGGCTGGGATGGAATCCCCTTCATGCCAGGGCTCCCAGCAACTCCTTTTGTGGGCGTTGAGCATGGGAGCAGCATCCCCAAACCCAGCCCAGACCCAGGATCAAGTCAGAAGTTGCATCAATGCTGGTGGAGCCCATAATGTCACCTGGAACCACCTGGATTAGTCTTTGTGCCATCAGCTCCAGTTGGGATTAAGTAGGGTGCCTGGACATGGGCCATGGTTGTGGTTCAGAAAGGTCCATGTCAAGGGCTCCCAGTTCCTCTGAAGACCAGTAAGGGAGTGCAGTGTGGTGGGGATGGGATGGTGGCCATGGGCTGGTTGAGAAGCACTAAGATCACCTCCTCAAAGGAGGTCCAGTGTCTCACCACTCTCACACTAAAGAATTTCTTCCTAAATTTCTTCCTGCTGCTCTGTCTCACCTGAGCAAGCATCTCCCCAAACCCTGGCCAAGGATGGAGGTGTCTTCCTTGCATCTGGGGCTCTCCTGCAGAGCTGGGGACATGGCACAGGGTGACTTGGACAGAGCCAGGGCAGCATCTCCCCGTCTCAGGTCGATTTGGTGGTGCTGCCCTGCTGCTCTTCCCTCCTGGGAGGAGCTGCTGAGTGAATCCTGTGCCTGGTTGGAATTTAGAAGAGCTGGGAGGATCCTGCCAGCTGTGAGCTTTTGAGCTGCAGCACGAGTGTCCTCTGGTGGCCTGAATGGCCTGAGACACCTCACTAGCAAAGCCTGAGACATGTGGCCTTCTCTAAGGGCCAGGTCCCAAACCCTGGGCCAGATCCATCTTCAAAATGCCCCAGCACAGAGGGAAGCAGCTCTGCTCTGGGAACAGGCTGGAAGAGTTGGGGTGTTCAGCCTGGAAAGGAGAAGGCTCCAGAGAGACCTTAGAGAACCTTCCAGTGCCTGAAGGGGCTCCAGGAAAGCTGGGGAGGGACTTGGGACAAGGGCATGGGATGAGGGGGGATGGATGAAAAGTGGCAGAGAGAGATTGAGGTGAGACATGAGGAGGGAATTGTGGAGTGTGAGGGTGGTGAGAGCCTGGCCCAGGTTGCCCAGGGAAGCTGTGGCTGCCCCATCCCTGGCGGTGTTGAAGGGCAGGTTGGATGGGGCTTGGAGCAGCCTGGGCTGGTGGGAGGTGTCCCTGCCCATGCAGGGGGTTGGGACTGGATGATCTTTAGGTCCCTTCCCACCCAAACCAGTCTGGTGTTCTATGATTCTTGTCTACAAACCAATCTGCTCCCCTGTGTAGCCACGAAGGAGTATAAATACCACGTTGATCTCCTTCTACTCCTGTTTCCTCCTTCAGTTTATCCACCTTTCTCTTCCCTCCTGCAGGATGAGGGAGGCCTCCTCGCGCCCCAGGAGGGAATACAAGCCCAAACCCAGGGAGACATATGACTTTGCAGACACTGACCAATCTAATGGGGGCTTCTCCTGCACTCCCACCCCCAAAAGCTCAGGTAAAGTTGTCCTCTCTGTGTGTCTGTCCACGCAGGTGCCTGTGGAGCAGCCTCCTGGGGATGGAAGGGAACCAAAATAGTGGTTGTGGTGCTTGGTGGCTCTGAAAAATGTCCCAAATGCTTCAAGACTGGGATTGATTTCTCTTGGGGTCCAGCAACCTTGGTTATATTGGTTTTGGGGATGTCCCAGTGGGATCTCCAGCCACTCATGCCCACTCTGGAGACAGGACAAGTGAAGCATCTCTGGTTCCCTCCCCGTTTTCCATCCCGCTGCATTTATCCCCCCCCCCCTCTTTGGTCCCCACAAAGGGGGTTCTAACACAGCATGTTGGCCACCTCCTTTCTCCTCCCAGCACCTCCCGTTGGGTCCTGCCTTCCCCTCTCCCCAGTTCCCATGGTTTTAAGCACGTTTCTTTTTGTTTGGAAGCAGCTTCCTCCTCTTTCCGATCCGACAAGCCGTCCCGATCCTCCGTCAGGAGTATCCGTGAGTGTCCTCCCTTGGCACTGCATGATGTGTGACCCATCTCTTCTTCCTCATCCCACCTCACTCCTCCTTCCCTCATGCTGCTGCTGCTTTGGAGCCACTAAACACCTCCGTGCTGAGCTTGGCCAACAGGACAACCCAGTTAAAAAAAAACCAAACACTCCAGTTAAGCCCAAATTTGGGGATTGATCACCTCTGAGTTGAGGTTTTTTTGTTCAGCCACACCATGGGTGTGGGACCTGTGGTCCCAGCTGGGCAGTGAGGAGCCTCAAATGGGTCTGCAGGTCAGTTCCTGGGGATGGGATCCAGAGGGGAGCCAGCCCAGCCTCTGGACCCCCGAGGGACCCGATGGGGGGTCCATGGTTCAGAGTCATCATAGGTGAAGCTGGCGGTGATGCAGCAAAGGAGCAAGAGGACTTGAGGAGCCTGGTGCAGGGGCAGTGCTGGGGGTGATGGGACCAGCCTGGTGTTTTGGGGAGTTCTCTCAAGCCCACAAACCTGCTTGGCTGCCTCTTTCGGTGTTTTCCAAGTTCGCTGCTGGGTTCTTTTCTTGCTGGAGAAGTTGAGCAGACCAGAGGTGCTGGTTGATATTCCTGCCCTGCTTGGAAGAGCTTGGGGGTTAAGGGAGGGGCCCTGCAGACCTGGGTGTGCTTGATTCACTCAGTCCCTTTCCAGTTGCATCCCTACAGCTCACAGGTGAGTGCCTCCCCATCCCAAAACTTGCAGGGAGCAGCTTTCCCTGCCACAAAAACACCCTGTGTCTGAAGTCCAAAGAGCTGAAGATGTTGCAGAAAGACTTGGCTTTTCTCCCCATTTTGGGGGGGGCAGCCTCACATGCATCACCAAGCTGCTCATGGATTTAAAGCTCTCTGGCCAGGGATGCAGTCACAGCCCTCTCCCTCCCCTCACCCTCAGAATTGGGGTGACTTCTCTAAAGGGACCCTCAGGGTCCTCCTCCATCAGATGCCAGTGTCTAACCCCATCCTCCACGAGCTGCACAGCAGCTTCTCTTGTCTCTGGAGGAATAATGTGGCTTTTCCCCACCTGGTTTCCAGTGTGGTGGTCACATTTAGGTTGGAGTTTAGTTTGGAGCAGGGGAGGTCCAGGCAGTGACAAGCAGTACAGAGGTGCTGGAGGTGGGAGTCTGTGCTGGGAGAAGGTCATGAAGGAGCAAGAGGAACCAGTGAGCTAAAAGCCAGTGAGGAATTTAAATCAGAATCATGGAATGGTTTGGGTGGGAAGGGACCTTCAAGATCATCTAGATCCAACCCCCTGCACGGGCAGGGACACCTCCCACCAGCCCAGGTTGCTCCAAGCCCCATCCAACCTGCCCTTCAACACTGCCAGGGATGGGGCAGCCACAGCTTCCTTGGGCAACCTGGGCCAGGCTCTCACCACC